CACAATGTACTAGGATAAATGCTAGGTATTATAATATGAGTATAATTTTGCATACTAGCTCCCATGCATGCATATGTATTAGACAGGCACTTCATAATATATACTCCATTTTCCATCTTTTACATAATAAAAAATGATTTAAATATGATATTCCTTAGATTTTTACTCTACTAGTTTGCTTCTTCCCTAACTACTAAAAAATCATTATATTTTTAAAGGAGGAGAAAAGTTTTATTGAAACTATATCGTGCTCACTAGCTATAGCTTAAATTAGTATGGAAATACCATAAAAGAGAAAACTTCCCTATTTACATTTCATCATAACTTTATTGAAATGAACCTCCACTTTCTACATAAATGTATGCTCATTCATAAAGTTATAACTAGCTATAAATTTCATCATAACTTCCTTATTTAGGACAAACAATCATAAGAGCATACATGCATAAAACATTACAACCTACCTTTTCCATATAACCACTGATTTCAATTCTCAACTAAGATCACCGGGTAAACTAAAATGTACTCACTATGCTATGAAAATGAAAACCCTTGTCCCTTGGTACAAAATATTAGTGTTTTTCATGTATGCCGGGTCAGTTTGTTTGAATTAGATCCGTTTTAATTGTTTACATATGACTACTTATAAGTGTTTTGTGTTTCAATTATAGAGTATAGAACGAGATATTGTGTGTTTGCCTCTAATACGTCAAGTGTTTCAAATTTGGACATCATGGAAGGTAGCTCGATCTTACGGAGCTAGTATTACTTGATTTAATAAAAATATATTGTTTATATTACCAAAGTAAAAAAAAAAAAGAGTTATTTCATTGATGTTTTAATAAGAGTATAATGTACCAATTTACATTATCTTTACATTTGATTTTAACATACTCCGTATCGTATACGTAGTATTTTGTATTGTTATATATGTCACATACTTGTACTAATAAGTTATCAATAATTATTGCATTTATAACTTTTTTTTTTCCTCTGATTTTTATCCAAGGTTGCAAAATCTAACAATCAATTAATGTATTTTTTTAGCTAGACAATCAATTGCAAATTAAAAAATCAAAGGAATACGGTATAATGATAACCCGACACCTGTCCTTATAATAATTCTAAAAACTGTCATATAGCTCTTGAAAAAAGAACAATTGACAAAATAGAGGTAATTAAAAATTGATAAGTACTATAATTGGATGGGGCCTTGGTAATGGTAAGGACGATAGAGATATGAGCAATGTGATAAGAATTAATTGTAAGATTTGTGGTGTTCAGTGATGGATCGCTTTCTTCATTCATTTATCGTATGTCACAACTCTCCGTAGCTCTCCTCTTTTGTAACTTTCCCTTTTTAGGATATATCCTTCTTCTTTACTACTCACATCTTACCTTTATTTTTTTCATCTTCATCACCTGTAGTACTTACTGGATCCGTTCCTTTAATTTTACTCCCTTCACTCGTCACATTAATTGTCACAAACTACTTTAACATATACTTTTATTTACAGATAGTAATAAAATACAGTACACCGTATCAAATAATGCATGATATCTTATTTGAAGAGCAAAAGAGAAAAGAGAGGCCGGGAATCATTATAAAGCTAAGATTCTATCTCTCTAAAATTTATGGTCACATCGATAGTATTAGTATTAGTATGTAGTTCATCTGTCTAATTATGATTTGAATAGATCATATCACACACGCGACATTTATACAAGTCAACCAGATTCGGATTAGAACCTTAATGAGCAGTGAATGTGAAATCAGGAAAAATGTGTATTGCATGGATAATACATTAGTACTCATATTAAACTAGTAACGTATGTAGTACAACTTTCCCTATCTTATGTTCCTCTCAATGTAAATGTAATTGCAATATGCAAATGCAACGGACATGATTCATGTGTTCCCCACCACATTACCATATTTCCATTTATGGCATCCTCTTGGGTTTTGTCAAAAATGAAAATACCTAAATACCCACTCAATCAATTATTAGTTTGAATTGGTATAATTTATCATTTATCATACAATTGACACATACACCTAAGCTTCTTCTCACGGGCTTTCCTTAATTATATACAGTAGTACTACAACAACCACTTACATTATTTTTCTAGCTTTTGTATGTCACGTGCTTTTCAATCTATATGACATGCACGCTCCTTAAATTCTTTTATTTTTTTATTTAATTTTTTTTTTTTTTTTTATATAGGTTGATTGATTTGTATTCGAATGATTCTTGGAGGGTTTGAAGAGTTGAAAGTTGGGCTTTTGACAGCTGTCTCTTAGTCGATCATGAATTATTATGGGTTTTAATTATTTTATCTACAATTGAAGTGTCATTTTCGGATAAGTAATAAGGAATTTTCCATGGTCATATACTACTCATATTCATATATAATTGAGTACAATTATAATACATTTATATGCAGTATACAACACTTATATAAGTGACAAATAAATACAGTAAATAAAAGGATAAATAAAGGTAATTATGTATATGAAAGCAAACATTTTAACGAAGACATAATAGTGTGATTGAATTGTTGACAAAATATATCTTTGAAAATGAAATTTTCTTGAGAGTGAAAAAAGACAACTTTATTAAATTGATTTTTATAACACAGCAATTTGAACTTCAAACGAACGTCGGCTGATTCTTGAGACTCAATGAAATTGTTGCATGTCCATTCAAACAAATAATTTACTACGTTTTTGTCATATGAATTGAAGATTTAAATTTTATTGGTTAAAACTAATCTAAATAAATTAAATATAATTATGTTAAAGTGAGAAAGAACATGGGCTGTTAGTTGTAAGCAGCAGGGAAATATTACAATTTGTAAATTTGTTTGGCTACTCTGAAAATAGAATATATATAGATGTATCCAAAAATTTGACATTCCTTATTAAAAGCTTGTTATATAATGAATTTAATAAAGTTGATATTCTTTGAGTAACAAGTAAAATATCTACTATCTTCCTTAGAAGTGGAAGTAGTAGTACAAAGTAAAGGAGGTTGATTCGCCAACAATAACATGCACGTCTAAGCCAAACAAGTTTGGTGCCAATTAATGTTACAGCTTGGTTGTCCACACTTGTTTGTGGGAAATTGGGGAACCCTTTTCATTCACAATTTATTGCTTTAACCTCACGACAAAATTGTAGTGGCCTAGGTTGTTTCCTTAGCACCCGTCTATGGTCACAGTAGAGAGAATGCAATCAATTTTCGCTGATAATTTCTCGTCTTTTTTGACAATTATTGGTACCTTAAGGTAATACGTGCGTTTTTAAATTATGACCTAACCGACCTGTTGGATAATCGGTAATCAGTATTGGCTGGATCATATAATTTTGATCATTTAATTCAAAACTATATAACTACATACATTAACTATTTTCTTATGTTGCGCGTGAAAAAGATGTAGGTGTTACAGGCGTAACATATGATAATTTTCAAAAAATTTAACCCATACTCATGGATGATTAATTCAATCATTGTGAATCATGAATCATACCTCCACTCAAATATATCCCTTTCCAACAAGAAGTAACTGACATAAACTCATAGACAAAAATTAAAGAAGGTTTGCCAACTTGAGCAAGCTACTTATTAAGGCTACAAATGCCATAACATGAAATAGTTATGAAACGTCGAGTTTTTGGGCCTACTGTTATTATGAAAAAAAAAACATCAGTTGTTATCCAACCGTATTCATAAAAACACTTTCAACAACCCACATGATAATTATAAGGATGTTAATTTGCTACACTTAAAGATTCCTAGGCCTAGATTTTGTTTGAGGATATGTCATAAAATGGTATGATCGTATGTATAAATGGCTTCCTAGATACTAGGGAATTAGGGAGTACTCCGTGAGAGATAATATCTTTATCTCAAAATGTATGAAAACGATCAAGGTCTCTAAGGGAAGAGTTTAACATGAAGAATCCGATTGCAGAGTATTTAATAATATTTTACCATTAATTTGTCAAAATTATTACTTCGTAATTACCGTAATTACTATAAATTATTGCGAGATATTTTTATTGTCTAAAAACCTAAACAAAGGGCCAGTTTTTATTTTGATAATTGTAAGAAGTCAAATTAATGGTACATTCTATTCACTTGATTTTCCATTATATGAACTTATCTGATCTTATTAGAGCTTATTTTAACTTAGGTCTTGTTCACATTTACTAAACTGAGCTAAGCTGAACTGAATAGAACTGAAATGAATATTTTTTGAGAAAAGGAAATTAAGAGCTAAAGTAAACTGAACTGATTGGAGATGAACTAGACTGAACTGATCTGAAATTAAGTTGAAGTGAACATGCCCTTATTTGAACTTATTAGCCTTTTACAGAACTTATTTTAGTTATAAATTGAACTTAGATAGCCCTGATTAACACTTATTACAACTTATCTGAACTTGTTTTTTCCCTAAACTGACCGTACATAAAATTAAGATAGAGAGATAGTATATTTAGGAGTAGTATGACGCAATATTAGTCTTGTCCAAAGTTTTTTGTCAACCTTTTTATTACACAAAGTTTGATCCCCTCCACCAAAATTTGCTTTTAATTTTTGAGAAGACAACCACAATTAGCTTTCACTTTCAAATATCTCAACCATTTGCAATCAGCTTTATAACACTCCGTACAGTTTACTTAAAATGTTAATTATTGTACATTTACCTTAATTTATAAGAACACATTATAGTTGCAAATTGAATCTTTAATAGTCTATATTGAATTATTGATCTTTGATGGTATAATTTAGTCTAATCTGTCTAAGCTTTTATAAAGTAAAGTACTAATCCTTCAATCAAAAACATAACAACAAGTCAACAATAGTTATAAATAGAATCATTGATAGCCAATATTGACATAGATTATATTTACTACATATATCACCACTTCTACAAAGTAAAGTACTATCCTTTTATCTGAAATGATCAACAACTAACTGAGGTCATGGAAATAATTTTTTTTTTTTTTTTAAAGTATACTAAACCTGATTTAGTCACACCAATTGGATTTAATAACTCTATTACAAGGGAGATAATTAGTTATTGATGTCTAACAATTCACCATTTATAAGACAAATAAAGCATAACTGTGATGGGTCATGACTCATGATACTGTTTTCATTGGTATGTAAGTACAAATTATGGTATCAAATAGCCGTTATAGGGCCTATAATTTTGAAAGTGGCCCTAAACAGTTTTAGCCAGATTAAGGAATTGACCTTTTATTTAAAGGTCAATAGGTCATAGACCTTAAACCAATAGAAATTGAAATTGAAAAAATAAATTAAATACTGGCACCAACTACTGAAAAATAAGTCCACTTTGCTACTGTCCCACCACAGTTGTTAGTCACTGTTAATCACTTTAGCATCTTTTCAGTGCCCTCTAAATATGGGATGGCAAAATTAAGGTTGTGCTCACCTGGATTAAAAGGAAATAGATTTTGATTTCCTTTTTCTTTTTTCCTTTTCCTACTATATATTCTTTCTTGGAAACTGTACCTTTAGAAGTACAATACTAGTAGTACACTAGTACTTGAATTAATGACTACACAAACACACTTCGGAAATTGATTTTGGTACACCATTAACTGATTTTGACACACCCCTATGTGAGAAGAGCATCTCACATAGATGTGTGCCAAAATCATTTCATTTCCTCAGTTTTTTTATTAATCATGATCTCTACACATGACAATTCAGTATAATTTTAATACCTAAGAACACTCGAGTTTAATTTACTTCAAGAAGTGCCGGCTAATGTACAACTTTAGTTATGCAATCAACAATCTTCACAAGGAGGTAAAAACTAAAAGAATCATGAACATCCCAGAGATGCCAACATCAATTTCCGAAGAGGAACTAAGTATTGAAAACCAAATTCTTTTGAGTTAATGCAATCAGCCAAAAGCCAAACATCATAACCTCGTATCACTGGTCACTGACTCACTGCAATCTTAGTGTCAGTTCGTTCTACTTGTTATAATTACAAAAAGAATCATGAACATCCCAGAGATGCCAACATCTAGTCACAACCGTCGAGCGTTAGTTGTATTAATGTAATACGGAAACATTCTACGCTACAAGCCTACAACAATCACAACAATGCCTTTTTCCACAGATTTCATGGGTAATTGGCGTGTTTATAATACGGAGTATGGTGTACCACACTGCATATAATAAGGCACACATGACACATATGAGAACTGAAATTTCGAATTCTAGCAGGATATTACGTAGATAAGATAAGCATGTTGCCAAAAAGGATTTGTGATTGAAGAGGAGTAATTTTCAAGCAGAAGTTTTATATAACACCATCTGCGGGAAACAAAATGGTTTTTTCTCAAATAGGAGATACACAAGAATAATGTTGAAGCTATAAAAAAAGATAAAATATGAAATACCTTTAAATCAGATACACAATGCACCCATATCAGGCAAATTATTGTTTGACCCACAGGAACCTGCTTTGGTAATTGGTATAACCTTCTTCCTTTGCTTCCCTCTTTTACTCCTTCTAGCATGAACTTCGTTGTCACTGATGACACCATTGAAATAATTAGGATTAAAATTAAGAGGCATCAGCTGGATAAATTTCTTCATAAAAATAGATGCTACGGCGGCTGCACCTCAAAAGCATGCAGCCAAAATTTGAGAAGAAAGTGCTCTCATTTGAAACAAGAACCTCAAGGAGATAAAATTCTTCAACCAACCATTCCACTACCCTAGGTAAGATTACCTACATAAATTCCTGATGTGCAAATAGCTTTAAAGTTTTTAATACTACTATATAGTTTGAGTTAGATTGTAATTTCCCAGCTCTTAGCAACATCTATAGAATATACTATCTTCCCCGGGTCTTAGCAACTCGAAACATACTAACTCCCCTTATCCTAGTTAAGATTTGGGGAAGATTATTCTATGTCTATAGAATAAAAAGAAAAAAAAAACTCCATTGCTCTTAGCAACTCAAAAATGCTAACTTCCTGTTAAGTATAGGACAGTGACTAAGGCAATAAACTTGAATTTCTGACAGCTAGAAAAGATTAACACATGGCATTACCAGCATAAATCAGATTGAATTAAATAACACAATGCACAGGATTTCTGAAAAAATCAGTTTAAAGAGCATACACTACAGCTTTAGAACAGGTTTTGCCAGAAGCTGCTCCACAACACGCCTTATATTTTTTCTTTGATCCACAAGGGCAAACCTTATTATTGGGAATTTTCTGCGATTGTCAAAGAAAACTGTCAACAAACTGAAACCCCATCCTAAGAGAATCATATAGTATAAGAAACAGAACGTGTTCTAACTGCAATTTGAGATAGGGAAGTAAGCATGATTTGACCAACCCACTCCACATTTCGGAAAAAGGAGGGACTAGGGAAGGGGAAGGAGAAATAGAGTAGAATAGAAGAGAATAGATAGAGCACCTTGTCAACCTTGCTAGAAATGTCAGTTGAATGTTCTAGTATCTCTAAAGGAACTCTGTTTTCCACATGGTTATCAGATTTTGTACTTTCATCTTCGCCTGGATGTATAGGGATGGAAACAAAATCAGAAATGTAGAATATGGAAGCAAAAGGATACTTAGAATAAGTTGAATCCACAATGAAAAAAATTCTTTGTGGCAGCAAAATATACACTAATATACTATGGCTAAGTTGTTCCTAGTTTGGTGCCCTTCACAAGGTTCGGATATATTTGCTGCAATTCTGTTCGTAAATCTAACAAACTTCTACAAAAGGCCGAGTCCTAGACTATCAGTAGTTGTGGAAATTTTTGCCTAGGAATCCCAAGTGATAACACTCTGAGAACTTTGCGGTCTATGTAACTGTCATACGCTCAGCTACCGAACACTCTACCATAACATAAGACCGAGTTGTTTAAAGCCACAAATTATAAGGTTGTGGCATTGCTTTGATATCTGTTATATCCTACAAATACCAACCATTACCAATTTTATCATTTTCATGACAAACACCATTTTCCTCTAATGTTTCTCCAGCTTCTTGTTCTGCTATCAAGAACTCAGTTGCAGCATCAACATCACCATCCACTTGCAATAAAACCTGCAGGGTTTTGAATAAAATAAAGTGCATGTTACTAAAAGTCCCATTACAATATAATCCCCAAGCAATATGACATTCAAGTTTTGCAGGCTCAATGATTGCAACATAGGTAATCATCACTAAGCCAGAAAATTGGTTTATGAAAGTTCCATTACAGAAATGAATAGAGGAATCTAATCCCCATACCACGTAATCATGTTCAAATTCAGAGTATCAAACCCAATTTCACCCTTGTCATTAGTGCTCCTAGGTTTTCAGAATTTTAAATGCACTACCTTATATTCTCAAAAAAAATGTTAGCTAAAATGATAGGAAGAAAATCATGTCAGCTGAACAAAAAACATAAAATGCATTTTAAAAGGTGTATTACCTGCTTAACCTTTTCAGCATCATCACAACCACTGCCTGCCATGACCATTTTAAGGGCTCCTTCGTAAACAGCAATATTTGAATGTTTTGCTTTTGATTGACTGCCTGCAGATTTTGCTTGTTGTGCACTTGCTGTAATATTATCATCAGCCTATTTAAGTAACCAAAAAAAAAAGGAAAAAAAACACACACACACACACACAAATTTTTTCCTCAGCAGAGTGCTAAATTATAAAATGTGAAACGTAAGGGCCAACAGACTTTGAAAAAGAGGGGAGGAGGACCTTAATCATGATAGGCTTAGCAGGTCCGCTGCACTGATCTTCCTTTAATCTTAAGCTGTTGTAGTGCTCTCCGTCGTGATAAGACCTACATAATTAATGTAGGCCATGTTGGTGAATATCATCAAAAGGTCATCAAGTCTGTATACAATTATACTGCAAGTGCAACAAGACGACACCATTTTTTCAAAATACTTAACAAAGTGAATTGGAAGGAAATGAAAGAGGCTGGTACATAAAATCAACATGTACCCCCTGCCTTCTTCTTTAATAATTCATTTAAGGAGGAGGGTTTTTCAAGGGAAGATGTACAAAGTAGATTGGGCAGAATAAAATCCATATGTCCTCTATTGAACCTGGGTTTTGAGAAACAAGTTGTAATATTAGTTTGTGTGCGCGTGTGTGTGCTATAAGGGAAAATAGGACTTCTCTTCCATCCTGTAAATCTGCACAAGAGTTGGGAGTGGTCTGATGAGATCATCCCAGTTCATAATATGACAATAAGAATCTAATGGAGTTTGGTCGATTCCGAAGCTTTCACAGATATTGGTTTTTCTCGGCAAAATAAATGAAATTCAATAAAAGGGTTAAGTCCTCTTACTCATCTATGCATCTTGGAACCCTTGGAGGTAGGTTGGATGGTGGATCAGCTACTTACAGGTTTTCTAATGGTGGAACAGAACAGGTATGAGTTTTCTCCAAACTCCAAAGACAGCCATGTACTGCTTATGTGTCTAAGTCACAGATACAGTGTTAAAAATTTCACTTCAATCCAATTATTTTCTAAAAACAGGAGCCTTCATGTCTATGATTTTTCCAGAGGGTGTAAATGTTAGAGTGGTGTGGTGTACTATCCAATGCATAAATTTATGTCCCAAATTTGGAGCAGCGCTACGAGCGTATTGAAGGTTTTAATATACTTTAATGACAGCAGTAGTCAATCAACCACACAAAGTACCAGACTACGAGATTACAAAGCCCAGGGGAATTTTATTTTATTTAAAAAAAAAGTGTCCATACCTATAAACATAAAGTGTAAAATAAGATAAAATCACTTACAGATGAATCATGCATGCCCCCTGGTCATCAAAATTCCGTATGTACCATCGAGGTGACATATGCTGAAATATGAACGCAATGGAAATGTAATATTCAGTATGGTTGCAGAAATGCAGAGGCAATCTAGAAATGCCATGCAAAACTCCAGCTAAAGTATGTATTAAAAACAAACAACAATGTATGTTTGTTAAAAGATTCACCTTCACCTTTTGAAATAAGAGAATGAGAATAAAAAGTTTTGATGGATCAGGAGTTGACAAACAAATTTTGTATAATACAGATGAGCATTACCATTGAAGCAGAAATGCAGTCAAAGAAAGCCCACAAATATTTCAATAAGCAAGGAAAAGAAAAATTCTGGATACATAAGAAGGCATAGGAAAAGATTCATCTGATTTTAGGGAACTGAGGAAGAAGGAAGGCCTTACACGATGAATACAGATGTTAGTATGAGTCACAAGGGAAGCTGCTTGCAATTCCATATGTCCAGCCCACGTGCCATCCTTTCCCATGGACTGGCAGTATTCATCAAAAGGGACATCATCCTCGATAAATGGCTCAAATAGTTCACGATTTTTCTGTATAACATTGAACAAAAAGTAAGTACTTCTGATTTGCTCTCAAATGATTATAATGACCATAAACACTTATCCAGAAATTTTGCTGATTTGGAACTTTTCCAGCCCACAGCAAAGTTTCATTGTAGATGATAACAATGGGCTGAATTTGGGAAAGATAACTCTGATTAAGCACATGTAACTATATAAGCTAGACAACAGCAACACAAAGGAACAATTATAAGCTTTCATCTTAAGATCTTCTATAATGTGTCTCAGCAGCATGGCACTGGTGGCTGGCATATGTGATAAAAACAAAATTTGAATTCTCAAATTAATGATGTTATGAATGGAGGGAAAACTACCTACTACAGTTACGTACTTGCATACCTCAATATACTGCACAACCATACGACGATACTTTTCATGTTCCTCTTCATTGCCCTCCAACTGATCAGCCAATGCCCTGCAAGCTAGATAGGATCATCAACTAGCTAGTTTAGCGAGTGCATTGAAGGGGCTATGCATACCAAACAATTATCCCATGCAAATTCCACCCATGAAAATTCAAGAAACTAAGTGACAAATCAACACCAAGAAGTACACCCCACACAATTACACAAACCACGCATGTTGCAGTTAGACTGTTAGAAACAGAGAGCCTCCGTTAAACACTGACCTGAAGAAACAATTGCCATCAGCTGTCACTTGGATAATCTTCAAATCCAACAAATCAAGCTGAGCATGGAAGTTAGATATGTCACCCTGCTTTCCATGCTTTTTGGCCTGGCCACATTACAGATATGAGAATGAGATATACAAAAATCATAAACATGTCACTAAATCACCATCAAGGAACAGTAACAACCCAATGAACATATTATAACTATTTTTTGTAAGCATGACACACAAGTGGTCATAAATCATGGAAATGGTAGTGAATTTGTAGGTAAAACCAAAAAAAAAAAAAAAAAAAAAAAAAAACACGTTCACTACCTTCGTAATAGAACCCCATCCCAATACAACTATACAAGTGAATTTCTTCATGAATTTCCATTACCACTCAATACCACCTTGTGAATGGTAATGGATGGTAATGATATTTTATAAAGAAAATGAGGGTTTATAGATGACCTCACATTGTAATGACATTCAATTATTTTTTTGACAAAACTAAACACAAATTAATTATCCTTCCCAGGATTTATAATTGTCTACCAAATGTTCCATTAGGTCTTAGGTAAATCACTACAAATTTTCATTTAACCCTAAAAATTTATAAATTACAGCTCATAAGTAAACAATTTTTTATCATCAATTCAACAAACAAATCCAAAAATACCAATACCAAAGGAGATTTCAGGTGAGAAAAACACAATGCACATCAATATATGTTATTCTCACTCTTCATTACTCCAAAAGTCCAAAACCTAAGGAAATGACACATATATTAGCAACGCCCATCCTTTAGACATGCAAACATGTCAAACATAAAAATTACTCTACAATATGGCTAATTAATAGCTTGTGTGGTTGACATTTAAAAAAAAAATACTAGTACATGGAAAGTGAGTTCATGGGTGTAATTTTTGGTTGACAAAAACATGGGAAAGTGGAAGGTGTCGATTATTTCCCATCATCAAACCAAACACATTTTTAAACTTCCCGGTTCTTGATGGATCCAATACTTCCTATGTTCAACAAAACGATCACTACGTGTTTCAAAGTACAGTATAAGCTTCCGAGATTGGGGCAACTATATACCGTAAATCAGTACACCCAAATACCCAATAGATCAATCCTTTTCTTCTATATAACACCAGACTAGTAGCATAACAAAAGTAAACAAAATCAAACTAGTTGCAACTATAAATCAGAATACCCATTCAACAAATCAGCTATAAATCCTAAAAAAAACAAAGAAAAGAAATCAATTTCAGCGGGAAGCAACAGATGATAATTTATTCGAGTACTTGTATCAAAATTAAAACTAGTTACTAAATTCGTAAGCACTCGTAATAATAAAGGGAGAAAATCAACTACGAAGTACTCAACAAACATGAATTTAATTAAAGTTGAAGAAAAACATTGTTCCACATAATTAGTAAAAATAAAACAAAATTGCAACAAAATAAAAATTAAAAAAAATAAATAATAAATAAAGGCATGAAATCAGAGCAAGAATTGATCAAAAAAATTACATGTGATAGTTTCTTAGGTTTGGATTTTTTATGCTTGGCTTGAACCATCCTCTCACTGTATGATTTAGCTTCAAATCAACTTGTTTGATAAATTTCCGACGCTTTTTACAAAGCAACTGGATTTCCGACGCTTTTTGCAAAGCAAATTAGCAACTGAGCTCTCTGCTCTGTTGAATTGAACTAAATTACCAGGGAAGAAGAAAGAGGTAAACGAAGGAACCTGTTTCAAGAAAATTGTTTGGGCTGGTAAAGTGGTAAGTTAGGGTATATTGATCTGGGCCTTTATTCAAGTTAGCCCAATATTTTCGGTCTTTGAGATTATCTTATTGGGCCAACATCTCTTCTTATGCTAAGTTTATGGCCTTGTTTGGTTTGGATAGCTTTTCCTTTATTAAACCTATTTATTAGAGGTTAAATAGGTTTGACCAATATAAAAATATTAATTTGGATATTTGGTAAATAATTTATTCAAAAAGTTTTTTTTTAGTTTAAATATTTTTATTTTTTTTGAATCAAAGCTCTTTTTGAAAAGAAAAAAAAAATCAAAATAAGAGCTTTTTAAAATTAATTAGCTTATTGAACATTCATCTTTTTAGTTATTTCATACACTAAAACAGATATAGTATTTAATTCAGTTGTTTATCTTTAATTCAGTTGTTTGGAGTCATGTTAGATGGGATAAGAATGTTGTATTAGTGTTTTAGTCCATCTAATTCCTTTCAGTGTAGAACAAATATGGGAGAATCATTATCCATGTGAGGTTTCTCCTTATGTTTTGATGGATAAGTTATCAATTTAAGAAGAAAAAAAAAACACTAAAACAACTAACAATTAACCATTATTAACTAAACACTTATACATAAGACACACAACCATCAACTTAAAACCACTAACCAAAATATTAGAAACTATGACATACGAACAACAAGGTACCATGCAGAAGATTGGAAAGCAACCGAGAAAAGACTGCAAGGCAAATTGTCTTTTACAATTTACTTGCTACATGAGTACATCCCCTACATAAATTTTTATGTACATTCTTTCAAGTTTTAACTATTTATCAAGTTAAAACAAACTATCATAATATTTTCAAAATTGTAAATTTACAATAAATGTAAAGACCTATTAGACTATCAATAGATAACCAGCTCACGCGATAAATTATATCACTTTATTTGTTTTATATAATTTTGAAGCAATTTAACTAGTACACTTGTTTATATCGTTAATACTGACTCCGATGCGTATTGATAAAAATTATGAAGGAGTTACGTACTTTATGCTTGCGTATGATTAGTATAAAAGTCAAAATATTATGATTGATTTAATTAAGTGATGGAATATATAATTGCATTAAGAAATTAAAGATCAAACTAAGATGTCGATCACATATATCATCGTCGGTAGGTAGAAACTATAAAAGACAAATGCATAATTCCGAGCTACTTTTGCGAAATGATAAGCATTTTTGTCAAATAACGATACATTGTTTACACTTTACACATACTAATAATCGTTATTAAGCAAATTTATGTTGAAGACAAACAAATTAAAGAATAAGCAAACATAGAGTGCATCTTAAGAAAGCATTTTGAAAAGACTGATATAATTTTGATACCAACCAAATTAAATCAATTAATTATGTGCTAATTAAAGTGGAAAGTAGGACCTCAATTCAATAAGCTAGCTAATTAAAGATAAGGACACCTAACTAAATGATTGTCTTTATAATGCTTAATTAGTTAGGATGTATAATAGGATCATAATATTCTCTATCTAATGGAACATAATCCTAATTATATTAGTATTAATTATTATTTCCTTTGATTCTTACTTTTTTTTATAGTCCTTTGTTTCTTACTAATTGCTAGACTTTATTTTTGAGATTAATAACCTGATAATATCTCATGTGATTGTCTTTTATTAAATATAAGTTATCAAATTCAGTTAATATAGAGTGAAATTAAATACAATTAAAATAGAGTATATTAATAGTACAAAAGTCATAATATTACAATTACGAATAAAAAATTAACTTGTACAATAAAACAAATGAAAGTGCATAAATTATTGCTTTGAATTAAAAATAAGTCACTCCCTTAAAACAAGACAAATGGTGGGATGACTTTGCTCTAATACAATATCTGTGGGGTTTAAGCTAGATATATATATCTATGTATGTTAGTCAATTTTTCAATTAAATATTGCATGATACTTAATTTAAGCTCTTTTGCTTAGAATTTATTTTGTTTTTTACCTGTATTATATTATTTTGGTTACTTGATTAGAAAATGCAAAACCTAATAACGTGAGCTGGAGAGGCGATTTTCAATAACTTTCAACAACTGTCATATACTGTTTTTGCTGCATTCTGTCTATATATATCCCGTCAAGTGTTTGATTAATTATGGACCAAGTCAAATTTTAGTTGGAAGGCCATTAGGCCAGTGCTAGTTGTACTATTTTGGTATTGTACAAGCTACGATTTTTTTTTTAATAAATAAAGTTTTTTTTTTTTTACATTATTTACCACCTACCTTGATGACATGATAATCTTGTATAATATACTTCTAACATCAATAATAATCGGTATTGCTTTTGTACATACAGTATGCTATCTTCATAATATATATACACTTCCTTCGTTTCATATACGATGACATATTTAATTTAGACATCTTTGACAATGCTTTTTTTTTTCCATTCAAATATCCTTGATTAATTATTACATATACACAATAATTATAAAAATATTAGATATTGAGACGAATCTAACAAAACCAAGTGCATTTTTTTTTCCTCAACACAAAATGATCATAAAGCGAAGTCAAAGCAATTCATATGAATAGTGCATAAAGTTAATTGTGTCCTTTAATTTGAGACAGAGGAAGAATTTAATCAGTAATATTTTAAGTTTAACTAGTTCAATTGATAATTGATTGTGAGATATATGAACTATGCATATTAATCTAAGCATCTAAGACATCATTTGTATCCAAAAACTAATTGAGTTTAGAAAATTCGATAAAACAATAGTCAAAATCCACTCGTAACGCTCCTCACTCCTCAGCCAAGGTTATTGTGGGAAGCAAAATAGAGAACGACATGAGTACATGGCCATTATTACAAGATAACGCACTAGTCATGCACAAGCACAATAGCTCCTACGCACTATTGATTTGTCACATACTATAGACTATACCTATAATACTAATAAAATGTATTTGTACTAAGCTATCACCAATCTTTTCAATAAAAATGATATCAACAATAGTTATAAAACTCATTAGGTATCAATTAGCCGTTGGTGTAGCAGTGATTGAGGCTACACTTGATAGGGTAGATCACGTGTTCGATCCCACGTAATAACAATTGAAAGGGGATTGAAAAGTAAAAACTAGTCACCCAGACCTGATTCTCGAATTCGAATTAGCCCAAAATGTGAATCGGGTGAAACAACAAAAAAAATAGGTGAAATAATTAGTCAAAGATATTTCAAGGTTACCATAATACTGTCATAACAACAGGCCCCACAATCTGTAAAAAAATAAGGTAGAAATATAAAGGAGTAAAGCAATGCTCGAAGCATCGTTGATGCCTTGGGCTATATTTCAACCCCGGGCCCGTAATTAAAGTTCAAGTATCACTTATTAGAAACATAAAGCTTCTTTTAATTAATTGCGACTTTTTTGGGGGGTAATTGTAAACATGATTTTGTTTTTGTCCTATTAGTACCTTTTGGTTATGCGACTAAAGTCCCTCCTACGAAATTTCATAGTCATAGACCTTGAACCAAATCGTACCATGGTCCCTCACTGGCTCACCCATACTGCCCTACATAATCTACACATAGTCACATACACAATACGTTACTAGACATTACGAGTAGGTATGTAGCCTAACGTACTCGCACGAGTACTCGGGATAATTATTAGACATTACGAGTATTAGTTTTAAACTTAATTTATAATAAATGCCTAACTTTATTGATCTTGAACTGAAATAAATGATGATTAGCTCTTGATCAATTAGCTCGTGATCCTAACACAATGTTGTAAAAATACTCAAAATAGGGTGTGTATATGGTTAAATTAAAATGACTTGATCTTTGAGAGTTATTTTAGCTTAAAGATCGACTTTACTCTTTTTTTTAATAAATACTTTGATCCATTATCTTATATAGTCATGTATCAACAATAATAAATCTGTATGACATGTATGCATCTTATTAGCACTTGCGTATATATTTACATGAACTTATAACGTATGGTACATGCAAATTGTTTTTTGCACACACAAATTATATTTATGGCTCAAAAAGCTAGCAAATAACAATTGAAATTTGTCAATCACCATATATATATGTTGTACACCCAAATGTTTTGAAATTTATACACGTAAAGATATCAACAATTCAACATATTATAATTACAAGACAAAGAAATTCAAGATGTAATTAATACTATTGTGAATATAGATGGATCTATTTGGTTAAAGGTCCAAATTAAAATAGAATGCATATAATTATATTAATTGAAATTACTACAGAGTAACACTAATCAAATATAATCGACTCAATTTTTCAACAACGTTCATATTGAAGATATTTAAAGATATCATATACAGACTATCACTTATTTTGAATATAATGATCATAACATACATTATCATCATGAAATTAAATTTAATATCTTTGATATTATCCTTTGTAATTATAATTATTGTTTGATTCGTTTATACAGTATCTTTTTGTGTATTATAAAGAGATTGTATTAAGTTTAACTCTTGTAACTATTGTAACGCTATAAATATAATTAAGCTTTTCAACCTTTTATTTTACTCATAATTCTAAGTACTATTGAAAATTGATTTAATACTAAATAAAACTGAACAATAAAAGTACTCGTATGTTTTATATGTGAAGAAAAGAAAAGGCTTATAGAGTACGGTGTACTAAGGATCACATCTAACGCAGTACGGAGTAAAATGCGGTAATAAATGACTACCATGTCAAGTTCCATCCTTTTTTCCCTTTTCATTTCCTCCATTACCAACCCAACATATCCCCACCCACCCCCTTTCCTATCCTCCGTCATATACAACTAATTTTAATTACTCTGTCGTGCTTCCTTTAATTTGTTTTTATAGCGTTTATGAATGCACAAATTCAATCATCAATAATACTCCGTCATAATAATAATTTAAGCAAAAGTTATAACAAAATATGATGAGTATTTTGAAATTATATGTAAACAAACACTAACTTTACGGGTTATTATGAAGTTACTCGGTTAGTGTTGTAGATTTGTAGATGGACTATTTTGTTTGGATTATAAGGTTAGTTATTAATATAAGGTTACTTTGTCAATAATATATATGACTTTGTTATTTAAAGGTTATTCAATAAGTACAGTAGAGGTCAAAGTTACTCTTTCAGTGTTATAGGGATTACCTTACTAGTATTGCATGGATTAATCCGTATTTTTAAATACTTGTTCCATTTTTTTTGACAACGTATACCGGTACTAATTTTGATCAATAATACCTCTAATTATCAATAAGTATAAATTCTAATGATTGAATAATAATTTATTTACTGAATCGATTCCAACAAATAGTTACAAGACTATATTTATAAATCATAAATATTGATTAAAGTAGAACAAATAAATAATACAGTACAAAAAGTAGAAATAAAACAAATACTCGTATCTAAAAATGAAGGGAGTATAAATCAAGATGGTATGAATATTGTCACTTACATTAAAAATCTCCAAAGGGCACCTAGCATTTTGCACAGTTGAAGTAAGCTAAAAATACACATCACCCACCTTTCACCTTTTATTAATAACATAAATTAATTAATAATAAACCTTGTTTTTACTGCTCTTCCCACGCCTGTTTTTCCTTTCTTTTATTGTGTCGGCGCTACTCACTTTACATAACTCCGTCCTCTCTTTCTCTTTCCTCTCTCCTCTTCTCTCTGTATTCTCAGTCTCCATTTTCTCTCTCCACTTTCTTTACATTGTGGAAATTTTACTGTCATTTTCTGCTATTCATCGAGTTTCAGGTATTTATGTTCATAACTATTTTTTTGTTAATTTTTCATTTCATGCAAATTTTAACTTTGGTTAGGCTTCCCAAATTTGGAATTGCTGGGTTTTCATTGTAATGCCTTATTTTGGTTGCATGATTTTGGAATTTCTGAATTAATCGTTTTTTTTTTCAATTGAATTTTGATGTTTTTTTATGGGGATTATTACCATACTGTTGTTAACCAAGTGTAAGACAACTGATTTCATTGTTTGTATAAATTTTTTTCTTAAATTAATTTAGTGTAGGAATGTCGTTTGACTTAAGACTAGCAGAGTTTTTGAGATGTTTTCTCTCAAATGAGTTATTATGATATGCATGAATTTCATAAATCATCTCAATTTTAGTTTTAATTATTTTTTGGGTATTCCAAGAGCCTAGAAATTAGCTCCAAGGGATTAATTTAAGAGGAAGATTTTACAGGGAGTAATTTTGATCCTAGAAAGTTGTCATTTTTAGGTTTTGTCAAAAGCAGTGTCAAATGTCAATCATCTTTTTCATTTGCAAGTTTTGATGGTTATATCAAGTTAGGGACAATGATGGGTTTTTGATGGAGAGGTTGGGCCGGCTGACCATGCTATATTTTGGGGGATTTGTCCGTTTTTGTTATGGTTTTTTCTATGATATTAAGTTCAATAATGTCCCGTACACGATGTTACGTTCTATAAGGGATAATAAATAGGTTTATCTCTAGAATCAGATAAAAATAATTCCGTTTTGATGGAGAAATTGGTCAATATTAGGTAAAAGAATGGTTAAAGTTGGTGAATGCGTAAGGGTAAAATTGTCATTTGAAAACCGAGGTTTTAGCTTTCGTCGGTCATTAGGACTTCTAAGGGTTTTGTGAATAGTAAGGATGAATCAGCTGAATAATGTTAGGAGACATGTATTTGGCTAAGTGGAGCCCATTTGAGATTCGGTGGCCGAGCCCGAGTCCCGGGTTCAAGCCTCATCCCCATTATTGGCCTTATATAAGGGTTTAGAAGGGTTGTGTATACTTTAACCCCCCCTCCCAAATAAACAAAATAAAATGGAGTTCTTTTGGAAAAGGGAATAATTAAGCAACAAGAAGTGGGTATCCAATGCTTGTCATATAATGGAGAGAAATCAAACAAAGCCAAAATGAGTACAAGATATAAATAAACAAGTGGACATGGATGTCAGCATCATTTTTCAATCCACTATACATGCTCCATTAAAAAGATTTATTAGGTGAGATTTATTCACAAGAACTATGCAATAATCTTGTAGACGTGTATTAACATCAACATTACTCCAATGTCAAATATACTTCGTATGCTACAAATTACTCCGTATTACTTGGATGACAATTTTTTTTTTTTTTTTTTTTTTTTTTTGGCGTGTGATGTTGCTTCACGGTAATATATCATTTGTAATGGACAGTATAAGTGAATCATTGACTTCACTGAAATTGCATTATTGAACCAACATCATTTTGTGTAAATGTGAAATGATTGAGAGAGAATATTTATAGTAAAATTTTAGTATGTAACTGAAGATTGTGTCATTGTATTATTATATATCCTTGTAATTATAAGTTGATTCAGTTAAATTGTCTTTTTTTTTTTAAAAATAAAAAAAAACAGAAATCAGAAGAGCTAGCTAGTCAGATGACAGATCACAAATCATGGCTATGGAGGAAAAAGCCCTCGGAGAAAACCATCTCGGTGGCTGAGTTGGAAATTGCTTCAAAAGAAAATGAGGAAAAGGTATAAACCAGTAAATTTACATTTTTGTGTGATGGGTGTGAAATCAGGGACGAAGAGTTTATACTAAAAACTTTGTGGACTAAGGCTCTAGAGTGAAGTACCCCAATCGACGAACAACCTTATTCTTCTGTGGAATACCGAAGTTGGCGATGTATTTTCGTGTCAAAAAGGGCCTTATGATCACATTGCTAACTATGTTTCCCTTTTTCATCTTAATTATGTGTATATTTTCTTTTTGTAAGCCTTACAAGGAAAGGTGCCAGTTAAATTTATCAGTCTATAGTGCTTTCATTGAGACAGCTTTAATTTGTGGTTCCAAATTTCTGCACAATCGTCTACTACGTATTTGTTTTCCATGAATTTCTGACATTCTTTTGCACAGATGCATGTGCTTCTTGCTGAAAAGGCAGAACTAGAAAGAGACCTTAAAGACTTGGGAGACAAACTTTCTTCTGCCCTTGCCGAGTGTAGTGCTAAAGACGATCTTGTGAAGAAACACTCGACAACAGCAAAAGACGCCCTTGCAGGTTCTCTGCTTGTCATCTTTTGAGCCAATTTATGTATTTTTGATGTTCATTCATTCCCTTACGTTTGACTAATTTTTTTTTTTCCCCTTGATTCACATAGGATGGGAGAAAGCAGAAGCAAAAGTATTGTCTTTGAAGGAAGAGTTGGATGAAACTTTGAAAGAGAGAGACATCAGTGAAGAAAGGACAAGACATTTGGATGCTGCGCTGAAGGAGTGTATGCAGCAGCTACGCTTTGTTAGAGAAGATAAGGAGCAGAGGATTCATGATGTTATGCTGAAGGCATCAGAGGAACTTGAGGAGATGAAAATGATTCTAGAAGAGAAGTTAGAAGAATCGAACCAAATGATAGCGAAATTGAATGCAGAAAATTCTCAGCTTTGCAAGGCGGTTTTGCTGAAGGATCACCTTATTGAGGAACTAAATCAAGAAAAAGCCAAGGTAGAAGGTGATGTGAATAACCTGTTGGCGAGACTGGAACACTTGGAGAAAGACAACAATTCGTTGATATATGAAGTACGAGTTCTTGAGAAGGAAGTTGATATTCGGAATGAAGAGAGAGAATTTAATCGTCGAACAGCAGATGCAACTCACAAACAGCATCTGGAAAATGTTAAGAAAATCGCTAAGCTAGAATCGGAGTGTCAGAGACTTCGTGTTCTGGTAAGAAAGAGGTTGCCGGGTCCTGCAGCCTTGGCAAAGATGAAGAGTGAAGTAGACATGTTGGGAAGAGATTCACCGGACAACAGGAGAAAAAAGTCCAACTTAAGTAATGGAAGTAGCATGCAGTTGGACTATGGAGTAGACAGCAATTCTGAATCCCCTGTCAAAAAGATAAATCAGTTGACCGAGAAAATCTATGTTTTGGAGGAAGAAAACAACTCTCTGAGGGAAAACCTTCAAAAGAAGATGAACGAGGTTCAAGTGTCTAGAAACATGTATATCCAGACTGCCTCAAAGTTGTCACGATTAGAGGCACAGCTTGATGAATCTCAAAAAAATCAATTGATCAGGGATGCAAGGAGTGCCATGATATCATCACATGATTTATCATTGGCTTCAATGTCAGATGTTGGCAGTGATGATAAAGTCAGCTGTGCTGGTTCTTGGGCATCTAAATCTGTTGGAATGTCGGACATCAATCATCTCATGGATGACTTTGCCGAGATGGAAAAGTATGCTTTAGTTTGTGTTGACAAGCCCATTACTGAAAATTCGTCTGTCACGAATGCTGAAAGCATAGGAAAAGAATTAGTACCTATAGCTTCAGAAAGTATAGGTAAAGAATTGAACAGATCAATTTCCAAGTTGATTGAGATTATTCATGGGATTAAATTCCAATCTGAAAACCCTGATGCCTTACAAACACCAAGCAGAGAGAATGAGTGTCACTACACGGTTCGTGTTTTCCAGTGGAAAACTTCTGAGCTGGCTTCTATTATGCAGAACTTCCTTCGCATTTGTGATGATTTGCTGAATGGAAAGGCCGAAATTGAAATATTCACTCAAGAGGTTACACATGCCTTGGAATGGATTGTAAACCATTGTTTCTCTCTTCAAGATGTCTCCAGCATGAAGGATGAGATAAGGAAGCAATTGAATTGGGATGAAACCAGAAGTGAAAGTGAAACAGAAGTGGGAGTTTCTGTCCAGTTTTCTGAAGCAGGAAACAAAAGTGAATCTTCTTGTGATATGAGTGCTGAAGACAGAAAAGTGCAAGATGCGCCAAGAGACATAAATTCTGTAAAGCATGCATTAGATTACAAATCCTTGAGAAATGTACTTCAGGATTCTGAAAGTACTGTTGCAAGTTTGCGATCAGAAATAGAGGCCTTGAAGCACTCTAAGGAAATGATTGAGGAACAATTTGAAATTTACAAGATGGGAAATGAAGATCTTAATTTGAAGCTTGTGGCAGTCAATTCTAGAATGGATGAAGCCCACAAAAAGATTGCATCCTTACAGGAAGAGACGAAGAATAAGGAGAAGCATTGTGAAGAGTTGGAGGCAAAATGCCACAATTTGCAGGTCCAACTAGAGAGGTATACTTAACTTTGTCACATTTGCACTTTGCAGACCTTTGGTTGACTTTTGCAATCGTGTTGATTATTTTGAATTATCTTGAGCTTTTAAAACTGCTGTTTGAATTACTAATTTTGATATCAGGGTGCAAAATGCGGATACCATGAAACATCTCAATCAAGGCGAAAAGCAACTTAGAAATGTAAGTTATATTCCTTTAAGCTATACACATACAAAATTGAAATAGCAGGTGTTAGCAAAATTAAATGCCTGCATATCCATACTCCAATGGGATGACAACATGTATAGCTTTGTTTTCTTCACCTTGAAACTTTTAGACGAGGGCCCCTAAGTTCAAACAGGAAAAACATGTTTGGATATGTTTATAGAAAAGTATATATGAATGGATCTATTATTTCTAATTGAATTTTGAACTGAAATATGAAATGGTCTGCAGGAATGGGAAGTATCAGGAGCTTCAGAGAAGCTAGCTGAGTGCCAAGAAACCATTTTACATTTAGGGAAGCAGCTGCAAGCAATGGCCTCATCACGGGATGCTGTGGTTTCTGACAAATTCATCTCCACTCCAACTAGGAGTGCTCCTGGTGTTACCTCAACCCCAGAATCTGAGAAGAAGCTAGCTAGCCAAAGGTCCTCTCTGCTGGACCAAATGCAAGCAGAAGATACTGATGAACCTGATCAACTTGAATCACCAAAAACCAAGGAAATTATATGCACCAACAATAATTCTGGTTCACAAAATACTGGTAAAATTGCTGCGAAGATGAATGATGACATTGCTTTGGGTCCTTTGGCTATTGTACCATATCAAAAACCACAGCCTACATCAGGTGGACTTTTTAAGAAGCTCTTGAGGAGGAAAAAGAAAGGTATTAGTAAAAAGATGCAACTTCCATTTGAGGCCTGAGACACATGAAAGCTATAAATGAAATCATAGAATTCAGTAATCATGTTTGTCAATTAGAAGCTGGAACCATTGCACGTATATGCATGAAGATGATCCATCTATCGTTGTAGATATTTCCGGAAGTAGAGTTTTTGTATCTAAGGTTAAGCTCAAGAGTTTGAACTAAATCAGCAGATTTACTATCTGCTTTTGTGTGATGAATGCAATAATTTTGTTACTCTTATGTATCACCAAATAATGACCATTTTAAAACCAACTACCAACCTGAGCTTCTGCTGACCATAACTGTTAAAAGTATTAATTTGTTTATCACATCAGAATTATCTCTCAACTCCCAATAATATTTGCCAAAAGCCGAAAAGGATGATATTGAAGTTATGATTTAAAAAGCGTGAAAATAGAAACATAGAAATGGTGCAGACATTTCTAAACGAAGTATTAGTAAAACTGTCTTATAAGACCAGATACTCTCAGTTAAAGCTTTCCTCCTGGTTCCAAGGAAACAATTCTCGCCCCATCTTTAAGGCTCTTTAAACACCAAATAAATAAAAACAGATCCTACCAAGTTAAAGTGTCCTCGTGCGTGACGCCCCTTTGATACAACGAACCCTCAGATCCCTGAACACTTACTAGACAAGACCAACCAAAGCTAGTTTGGAGATATACTATAGTAAGCTATCGATTAGAAATAGAGGCTTTGAAGCGTTCTAACAGTTTAAGATCTTAAATTTATTGAAATACATTATAAATGACTTTCCAAACACAAATTATAAAAGTAACATATACAAATAAAATAAATAAAACTCAAAGTGAAGAGCAATCTTTAATAATGTACAGAGCTAGGCAACATAACATAGGTCCAGCGCAACACAGATGAAAATGCAGCAAAAATGAAAAAAACTTGCTGGTACGCCCTTTACCTTTAAAGAGATACCGTTATACACCACTTATCTAAACTTAATTAGACAAAATAAATACATACAAGATACAATGTACCACTTAATCAATTATATTAACTTAATAGGACAAAAAATAATTAGATAAAAAAAATTATGCTATGCTCTGATACAAAGAAATTAGCTCACACTCACAAATAAGTTCAACTACCATGAAAAAAGCTATGATAAAATAGGATTAGCACAAATAACCTTAAGTATAACGAGGCGGATCCAAGTTAAGGTCAGGGAGCTCCAACTCTAGTCCACTTTGATAATTAGATGATGCACTTCCTTTCTCAACTACCTTCTGCTCTGCATCATCATGTCGAAGTTGGTTTGTGATCTCTACTGACTTCAGTGATCCATCATCTACGCGATAACTCCCTGGCCAATAGTTACTTCCAGGGTACTGACTGTTGCTGGTGATGCTGCTAGTCCAACAACATATGTGTTCGTCTTCTGTGATCAGGCACGGCGATACACCATGAGGCTGAATGAAGTTGCAAGGCACCAATGGCACACCAAAACTCGCTTTATTTGTTGTTGATTTCATTTAATTGTTATGAAAATTTGCTTCGCGTCTCTCCTTTTTATGAGCATTTTGATGACCACCTAATGCTTGTGAGTTTAGGAATTTCCTTCCACAATATTTGCATACAAAGATCTTAAAAGGAAGAGATTTTGGCCTACAAGATTTGTTATTTTGATCCTTGAAACCTTGCATTTCCATTACACTAATAATCTAGTCTAAAAAATTAAAAAAACGAATTATGAGAAGAGCTACACATCACCTTGCTATAAAGTGTTGTTACATGCACTACTTATGGAGTAGTAGTTATCATTTTATCATATCGAAAATATATGTCCTTGTAAATCCATTATTTTTAGGATGAGAGGTTTCCAATCAACAAAGGGGAAAAAAAAAAAGGTAATGAATTGAATAAGGTTAAAATGTTAGCTGTACTTTATTATTACATCATTATTATTTTCCCAATTCTACAGTCATAAAAAACAAATTCTTAGATTATATTCCAATTTGAATTTTACCTATTGTCTTTTAAGATTTTACCCATTGACCTCTTAAAACTTACCGACCAATAAAGTTTTTAATCATCAACATACAATTAAATTTATTATTATTATTATTATTATTATTATTATTACTATTTTACGAACTTATGTAAACCAACGAGGAGATTGAGAGAGATAAATTCGTGAAAATGCAATTTTTTTTTTATTAAAAGAAAGAGAGCTAAAGAATTTCAATTTCTTAACTGCCTGACCTATTTGCTTTAGATCATCTGAAAAATAACTATATCACTTTAATTTCTGAAACTGACAAGTTACACTACAATATATCAAACATTCACACATAACTTAAAACCTTAAAAAGTACCCCGATCATGCGTCTCATATGGACTATGGATCAGAGTACCACTAATTTAGACAATAAGTTAAAGAGAGTTCAATTCACAACTATGGAGTAAAAACTTAGATAAAGACAACCCAAAAAAAAAAAAACCCTATTTCCTTAAAGGGTAATGCTTGAGATTTCCTAGACAATACTACTATTGGCAAGATTCTTGCCAGTATTATTGCTAGTTTGCTATTGAATGAAAGGGTAAAATAAAATTAAATCAAAGTATTTTTCATAAAGTGTGCAGTATATCCAACTTTCTTATCAGTACTTCTTGTATGTCGCTAGCCGCACCGTGTGTCTACTTGTAAAAAAACAAAGTAACTCATAAAACACTAATTGGTAACAAGTCGGGTTTGGGTTTAGCTCTAGTCATTCTCGGGTTTGAGTCGGGTTCGGTTCAAGTCAATAATTTGCAGATTATAATCAGGTCGGGTCATTATCAAGTCGGGTCATTCTTGGGTTCAAGTCGGGTTCGGTTCAAGTCAATAATTTGCGGGTTATAATCAATCAGGTTGGGGCGTTGGGTCATTTTCAAGTCGGGTCATTCTCGGATTCAAGTCGGGTTATGTTCAAGTCAATAATTTGCAGGTTACAATCAGGTCGGGTCATTTCTAAGTCAGATCATATTCGGCTTCAACTAACTATAAATAGATAATTATCATTTTAATCAAGCTAATTATTTCCTTTGATTATAATACATATGACAATATACTATGGAACTATAGTCTGTAACTTAGGAAGATAATTATCTCCTTTGACCATACAACAAATATATACTATATTTAACTCTTAAATTTGAGGATGATGCTCCTTTCTTTTGCTGGCCTGGACCGACTTGGTCTCCCTAGACAAAATTCTTTGATCAACAATAATAAGGTGGTCTAATTTTCATTTAAGGTGATTTGATATCGGGTCAAGAACAATTTGGGTTGAATTTAGGTAAGGTCAATAACAAGTCGTGTTAATTTCGAGTCGGGTTAGTAACAGATCGGGTTGAATTTTTGGGTCGAGTAAGTAATAGGTCTGGTAAAATTCGGGTCGGGTCAATTACAAGTCGGGTTGATTTCGGGTCGGGTTTGTAACAGGTTGGGTTAAATTCGGGTCAAGTTAGGAACGGGTCGGGCTGAATTCAGGTTAGGTTAGTAACAACTCGAGCTAAATTCGAGTTTTGACGGGTTAAAAAGGGTTAGGGTCAATTTCGGTTTAAGTCGGGTTCGGTGCAAGTTAATTAAATTGGTCGTTGTAAACCGGTAAATCGGTGCAAGTTGTAAACCGGTAAATTGGCCGTTTAATAGCAATTTGGATGGTTCCACACACCCATTAGACTCCCGTATCGGCCGTATGGTATTAATGACCATGGTAAACATTTTGGCAATTTTTATTTTCGGGCAAAAAAAAGTCCAAAAATTCCAAAATTGAAGACTAATATCCACGTTTTTTGAGAAATTTTGGGGGTCCGGTGTCGAAAAGCCTTGAGATTTTAGGGAATACATCTCGGGGTCATATAATGACGTTTGGAACCATATATGATCATTATATGTTGTCATAAATGTTCGTGGTAAGTTGGATTTAATGAAATTGGTGCAAGTTATAAATCGGTAAATAGGCCGTTTAAAGGAAAATTGGATAGATTCACCCACCCAATTGGACTCCCGAAATGTATTAGGGACCATGTATAACATTTTGGCAATTTTTATTTTCAGACGAAAAAAAGTCAAAAAATTCCAAAATTGAAGGCTAATATCCACGTTTTTTGAAAAAATTTGGAGGTTTCAGGGACCAGTGTAAAAAAGTCTTGATATTTTAATGGATACATCTCAGGGTCATATAATTCCGTTTGGAACCATATATGATGATTATATGTTTTCATAAATGTTCGTAGTATGCTTGAGTTATTGAAATCCGTGCAAATTGTAAACCGGTAAATTGGTCGTTGAAAGGCAAATTAAATGATTCCACCAACCCAATTAGACTCCCGGATGATATTAGGGAATATGGTAAACATTTCGGCAATTTTTATTTTTGGGCGAAAAAAAAAAGTAAAAAAATTCCAAAATAGAAAACTAATATCCACGTTTTTTGAGAAATTTTGGACGTTTTAGGGCCCGGTTTCGAAAAGTCTTGAGATTATGGGGAATACATATGGGGGTCATGTAATGCCGTTTGGAACCATATATGATCGTTATATGTTGTCATAGATGTTCGTGGTAAGCTTGAGTTAATGAAATCAGTACAAGTTTTAAACAAGTAAATTGGTTGTTTAAAGGAAAATTGGATGGTTCCACCCACCCAATTGGACTCCCAAAGGGTATTAGGGACAATGGTAAATATTTTGCGATTTTTTTTTCAGGCGAAAAAGTTAAAAAAATTCTAAAATTGAAGGTTAAGATCCACGTTTTTGAGAAATTTTGCAGGTTTCGAGGCTCGGTGTCGAAAAGCCTTTAGATTTTAGGGGATACATCTCGGGGTAATATAAAACCATTTGGAACCATTTATGATCATTATATTTTGTCACAAATGTTCATGGTAGGCTTGATTTAAGGAAATCGATGCAAGTTGTAAACCGGTAAATTGGCCGTTTAAAGGAAAATTGGATAGTTCAACCCACCCAATTAGACTCCCGGAGGGTATTAGAAACCATGGAAAAAATTTCGCCAATTTTTATTTACGGGCGAAAAAAAGTCAAAAAATTCAAAAATTGAAGGCTTATATCCACGCTTTTTTAGAAATTTCGGAGGTTTCGGGTCAGAGTGTCGAAAAGCCTTGAGATTTTAAGGAATATATCCTGGGGTCATATAATGCTGTTTGGAACCATATATGATTATAATTTGTTTTCATAAATGTTCGTGGTAGGCTTGAGTTAATGAAATCGGTGCAAGTAGTAAATCGGTAAATTGG